CCTCTCAAAAGTTCTATCTTTCAAATATATTCACTGATCCTTCCAAAGGAAGGAGGTGGATATTTGAAAGAGACTTTGAATCATAGAGGAAGGATGGATGCAGACAAGGCAATCCATGTTTGAGAAACAAACTTTCTACCCTAGAGCTCTGCCTAGCTCCTAAACCCTAGTCTCCTCAGCATCTGCTAGCAAGAATCTCCTCCTCAACTCTGACAATTGATCTTCAATCTTTGAATCTCCAATGGCCTCATTTCCTCAAGTCCTCAGCTTCCCCAGGGTCCCAGACAAACCCAATACCCAAACAAGCAAGCAGTAATCCCCAGAGGGCACACCACACCAGACAAACAGATATACAGACAATATTAATAGCAGTAGGGGAATCCTGACTTTTTCTAAGGGATCTAATAGCTACCCATAGCCCCTATAGTCCCATAACTAATCTAATTAAATCCTAAGTCCTAAGGGAAAGAATTGAACTTCCTAAGTCATCACCTAAAAAAAACCCTAATTTGTTCATGATGTTCAAACCTATTTTAATCACCTAAAATTAACTTCTAAAAATGGGAACTAAAATATTTCTACAAGTTGAATATCTCATCTAAACAATATAAAAAGAATGACCAAAAAATATTAAAGCATGTAATAGAACAAAAATCATTAAAATGATGCATGAAATGAATCTATTTAATATGACATTTATTTAAAAAATATGGAAAAAATATGAAATGAAAATAAAAATGCAATTTTATTTTTCTATAATATTCTACACATCCTAAAGAAAATATTGTAAAAAGAATGGAGTGAAAAGGATTTTTTATGAATTTATTATGAATTTTTGAAGTTGGTAAAAAATTAAAATGAATTAAAAACAATTAAACCAAATAAAATGAGGGAGGGGGGTTAGAATAGAAATTCGCTCCAGTTATAATCAGAATGGGCCACACAGCCAGGGGTGCGAGTAGCGTTTTGGTTAAGCCCAGAATTCTCAGCAACAAAGAAAAATAAAAGAAGCGCCAGGGGGGGTGAGAAAAGCAACAGATATCACGTTCAATATTGGTTTGGGCTTATAACTGGGGGTGGGATTAGCAGCATCCACTCAGGCCCGCCCGTTTCAATTAATGAAACGGCGCGTTTTGGCCAAACTCCATTTCCCTCCAAATTCAGATTAAATAATAGCCATAGGATCTCCTTCTAAGTCAAAAGTCCAACGCGCATTGAACGGACACGATTGTGTCTTCTTCCTTTGATCATTCAAGAGTTAGGGTTTCCCTCCATAGCCACCATGCACGAGCAACCTTCACCTCATCTGTTCTCCCTCTCCAATCCATGAAATGCCACGCCATAAAAATGAAAAATGCTCAGAATTCTTCCCTCTACAATCCTATGGTCTCATCTTGCTTTGAAACTCAACACATCAACAAACCCGCGCGCCACAAACTCTGGTTATCATGAGATTACTCTGAGATGCACCATGATAATTCTCCCTCAAACCTATCCTAATATGCTCTATGCATCATGGTGATTAACCTGCGCTATCAAGCTAGGATTCTAATGCACTAACCTAAGAGTTTCACCTCCTAACAGTTTATGGCACCTGCTAATCAACATCACCAAACCTCTCCAAATTCACCCTAACTGTTCTACTAACCTCCTACATTGCATCTAAACTAATAAAATCATGCCTAACTAACTAGATCAAGCAAATCGAATGAAAACATACCTGGTGCAAAAGCTTGAAAACAGCTATGGAAGATTGAGGATCTGAGGCTTTTGAGACTTGGATCTTGATCTACACACTCAATACTCAATTCTGTATGCAATATTTTGGAGCTTCCTGGCTTGAATTATGCTGTCCAATGGAAACTTCAACTTTGATGTTCTTGAAAAAAGTACTCGAAAATGGATCCTAACCACCTTGTTCTTGATTGAATTATACTCTATGATGATGAATCAGTATGAGAAAGTTGATTATGATGAAGATTTGGTGAAGAATTTGTGAGATTGGAATGAAACTTCAATGAAAAAGAATGTGAAAGCTTGTGAAATTCTTGGTGAAAATGAAGCCAACCCTTGCTAAATTCTCATTTCATGAATATATAGACCTCATGTGAACATTCTAGATCCATCTTGCACATTCCCTTGCTTTCCAACTTTGATCCATTTTGGTTATGTTTCTTCAATTACAAGTAACCAAAGATAACTTTCTTTTTTCCTTCTAAACTCAAAAAAGTGTTTGAACCATTGTTCTTAGAATTGTTTTTCCATTCAAAATCATATATTGGAAGTCTCCATTTGGATTCATAAATCTCCCAAACCATTTTCCATCTTGAATTTATTCACTTTATAAGCCATTTTAGTTCAACTTTTGACCAATTATGCAACTTCATGCTATGAGCTTCTCCAATAATTTGTGACCTTCTTTCTAGACTTAAAATCCCATTTGGAGCAAGTTTGATGTTGTAAGTTTTTCCATTTGAGGCCTCCTTGTATGAGTTTTGGACATAGGTTAAAATGACCTGTAATTCACAAATGCCCAAAATACCCTTTGCTTGCCAAGACCATAAGTTGAGTTCTCCACATCATATGAAGGCATACTATACCATTCTAGAAAGCTAAGACAATGAGGAACAATTCTTATGTTGACCAAGAATTCATTTGAAATCTCCTTGAGGGGTAAAAATTGCTTGGAAGTCAAGTCACTTTCACAGACAAAAATTCAGATACCTCAGATGACCTGTAACTTGCAAGGACCATAACTTGAGTTCTATAAATCTCCTTGAGGTCTTCCACCACTCAAATTAAAGGTCTTGAGATCCTCTACAAGTTTCATGTTGGCCAAGAAGCCATTTGAAGCTAGCATTTTGACTTATCTTGCTTGGAAATTTGACCTAAACTAGGGGATTTTACAGAGAAACCCTAATTTAGTAACTCCTCTTCTCCTTGATTTCTCTTGAATTCTCCTTGTCATATCTCCATATCCTTCTTTATATGTCCAATGATGAACCCCACATCTCTCCAATAGACTTGAATGCCCTTTAAATCAGTCAATTGACCTAGGGTTGACCTAGGGTTGACCCAGATGAAACCCTAGTTGACTGTTTTCAACTGTAGCTCTTGTGCTCTCATCAATGACTTATCTCCTTCTCCAAATGACTTTCTAAGCCTCTCATAATGTCTAGATACTCTCCATGCCTTCACTTCACAGCTCACAACCCTCTTGTTGACCCTCAGACACCCTCAGCTAGGAGATGGTCTCAAGGCTTGATCTGCTGAACTCTTTGCTTTCAAATTCTTTCCTGATGACTTGAATGAGGTTGAATTGGAATAATAGCCTCTTGATAGGCTTCTAGAGATGATAATAATGATTGGTCCCCTGTTGAATGACTTGCTATGCTTATGCTATGCAGATGATTAGTCTATGTACATGACTCTATATGCAAATGCTAATGACATTGAAACATAAACCAAGTGAATAAGGTTGGGCAAATTTTAGGGTGCAACACATACCTCAACCAGTCCTATTTCCATCAATCTATGAATCTTATCACCCCTAACTTGACCAAACCTTCCCAAAGCACCAACATGCTGCTAATGGTTAACCAGCACCAAAAGTTTAATGCAAACTATACTAAACTGAGTTAACAAACCTAAACACTCAAATAACAATCCAGTTACAAACTTGCCTCAGATGATCATCAGTAGCAATTCACCAACTTCCTAGAAGAAACTTAACAAGGCAACAACTATGCATGAGCTGGCCAAACTCAAAACCTAGAAAATCCAACAATGCTGAACCTCAACTCTAAATTAAACTAAAGCTCAAAAGCCTAATCTTCAATGCCTAAGGGAACATGCCTAACACTAAGCAGAAGCCAATTCAAGGATGAAGCACCCTAACTAAAGAGTCCACAGTATTAGTTCACAAACTAGCAGCACCTCCTCTGAACAAAGGAAAAACAAATGACAGTCCAATGATACAAACTCCATCTGATGCTAAACTGATCCAGAACTAAGAACAAGGACCCGTCTTTGCCAAAGGGAAACATATTTCTCATAAAGTTGAAATTGAAGCACTAAACCAAGCCCCCTCATGCTAACAGTTCCTTAAAAAACTCAAAAAACTTTACAAAAATAAGAAACTTACAAATTATGAGTTTACTTTAGTGTCGAATGAACTCTTCGATGTACTTGATGTTGATGGAATAAACTTTGAACTTAGTTGATTGATTTTTAGAGAGTTTGAGAAAGATTTAGAGTTTTTTTTAGAAATGAGGAAGAGAATGGGTTCTGACGCATTTTTGAACAAATAGCGTCCAGAGATATATCTTTAGAATATGCACGGAGATAAATTCTAAAGATATTTTTATATTTTCACGTGGTGATGGTAAATTCTTTAATACATTTGAATTTAGTTGGATATCCATACTATAAACCAATCAAATACTCTAATTTAATACCACATCACTTTTTTATTTTATTTTAAAAGATTTTGCACTAAAATACTCTTATTTATATTCATGAATATCAAAAAATTTCTCTTAATAAATTCAAAAAAATAAAATAAAATCATTAGCTTCGTCCATATTAAACTTTTTCATATATATATATATATATATATATATATATATATATATATATATATATATATATATATATATATATATATATATATATATATATATATATATATATATATATATATATATATATATATATATATATATATATATATATATATATATATATATATATATATATATATATATATATATATATATATATATATATATATATATATATATATATATATATATATATATTTTTTTTTTTCCTTTTTTGTGAAGTATGTAGGAGGAGGGAGTAGTACATGAAGTATGTAGGAGGAGGGAGTAGTACAAAAACAGAAACAATAACCCACTTTCAGTATCGGCACATTCACGTCAGAATTTCGTTATCGCCATTGAAATTGATCAAAAGCTTTAATTTTTATTCCCAATTCCATGTCTACCTCTCTTCTCTGCACCAGCTGCAGCAGCACCTCTCTTTCACGTGACGACGACACCGGGGGATTGTTCTGTGCCTCCTGCGGCGCCGTTCAACCCTTCGATCAATACGAATCCTTCACCGGCGGCATCAACGGTCCACAAGGCACCTTCGTCCACATTGGAACCTCAGGTTCAGGTAATTTTTACTCTTACAAAGACAGAAAATTATTATCCGCGCATAATTCCATTGAAGAATTCACTAATAGGTTAGGGTTATGTTCCAAAACTATCGAAATCAAATCCATGATTTCTGATATCACCGACGTGAATTCGGTCAAGGGAACTGGTTTCAAGTTTTGATTGGGGCCTGTTGTTATGTTGTAATGCGGAAGGGTGATCGTTCTTTACCTATGGCGGAAATCGCTAATGCTCTTGCTTTGATGTTTATGAGCTTGGGAAAATGATTCTTAGGGTTATTGATTTTTTGGATTTGAGAGGAAGTGATTTTCCTGAGTTTGATATTGTGTATTCGTTGGAAAGGACTATTAATAGCTCTTGTTGTTTTGATGATTTTGATAGGAGTTTGATTGATAAAATGAAGAAACAGGGGGTGTTTTTGTTGCAGTGTGCGGTGAAGTTGTTTTTGAGTACAGGTCGTCGGCCGCTTCCTTTGGTTGTTGCGATTTTGGTTTTGGTTGCTGAAATTAACCAAGTTGAAGTTCGTATGGAAGATTTGGCGAAGGAGGTTCATGTTGTTGTTTCCACTTGTAGAACTAGGTATAAAGAGCTTCTTGAGACGCTTGTGAAAATTGCACAAGTGTTGCCTTGGGGAAAAGATATAACTAAGAAGAATATTGTTAAGAATGCTCCTTTTGTGATTCAGTATATGGAGAAGAAGTCTATGTCAAAACCTGTTGAGAAGAGGAAGAATCTTGATCAGACTAGCTTTGATTTGGAAGAAGTGGTTGTCGAGTGCTTGGCACAAGAGAATGGATATGAATATGGGGTTGATGGATTAGTTTCGCGAAAAGATTCTCAGTATCTTTCATTGCCAAGTAATGCGGATAGAGAAGGCATCAGGGATATTGATACGTCACAGATTTCACCCGAATGTTTATCCCTGATTTATGAGAAGTTTTTAAATAAGAATCGTGGTGCTATGTTGTCGAGGACTGCAAATGTTCAGAAACATAAGAGGGTCGAATTTGATTTTCACGAGTGTAGAGAGTGGTGGGATGGAGAATCAGAACTGAGCAGAAAGCTTATACTGAGAAAGTTACTAGAGAAGGATATTGGGGCGGAAACCATGCCACCATCATTTATTAATGGTCATTTGAAATGTAAAATAAGGCGAGAGAGGATCGATGCTGCAAGGAAGCGGATAAAAAGAATAACTCATCCATTAAATGCTGATCTTGATGAAACTGTACCTCTTGACATTTTAGATAGCACTTGCACTGAGAAAAGGAAGAAGAGAAAAGGAGTGGTCGTTGAGGGTATTGATTGGGAAGACTTGATTATTGAGACACTTATTCTTCATCAAGTAAAGGAAGAAGAAATTGAGAAGGGGCATTACAATACTTTATTAGGCCTACATGTGTTTAACTCTGGCGTTGTATAAGAGAGGTTTAAGGTATAAAGACATTATTACATTAGAGGTTTCAGATTTATTGGCATTTTAATGATCTATTGATTAGTGATCTTTTCTGATTTACAATAATCTTATGATAGAGCAGATATTTTCATGCTGCAAATTTGTACTCAAACTTTTTATTTTATTCATTTGTAATGCAAGTTACTAAGAGATCATTTTCCCTTTCCTCCTCTTTGTCATATTTATGTATTTTTATTGTAAGTTTGTAACTTAACTCTGTAAAAAGATGTTTCCAGAGTTTGATAACTAAATCTACAAGTATTACTCCATTAAATTAATGCAGACCAGATTTGACATACCCAAAAAGAGGTGTGGATTCTTGAATCTTATGCTGAGTGAATTTTGTTCTAGATTTTGTATTTTTCTTCTTCTAGTTTTTCTTATACTTTGTTTAAGTTTGTGTTTCAGTTATGTGTTAGAACTTAGGTTTTGGGCTATATAAGTGATGAGGTCAGAAATAACTGACATCCTCTTTTGAACACAAAATCAAAATTTATTCTCTTTGAAAAGCAAATGAAGTTCTAATTGGTTTAAGAACAATATTAGTAGGAAAGTTGGTTATGGTCTCCACACCTCTTATTGGGTTGACACGTAGGTAGGGAATACACCACTTTAATTCAGATTCTCCAGAATTTTTAGTATCTCAGCAAAAGGATTGTTTAGTTTGTGAGATTGGTCTGTAGGAGGTGGAGAAGATCGATCTTTATCCCTGAGTAGCATGACATCAACTACCTACCCATTAAGGAAGTTACTACCATTCTCCCTAATTTACCCTTCAATTGATTTTTACTAAAGATTAGACCATACCCTTTTTGGTAATTTACTAAATACAAAAACATTAACCAATAGTATAGTTCAATTTTGCCAAGTGGCAGAATTTTTTTGAAAACTCTTGTCTTCCCTCTTTCCCTCACCTTCTCCCTCTTTCCAATTTTCTTCCTCTCTCTTTCCCTGTTACTCTTTCTTTCTCTTTCCACAGTTCTTTCATTTTCTCTCTACCCCTTTCTCTTTTCCTATCAAACCCTAGCGGGTTCATCACTCTCATTGGTGCTACACGACCATCTCGATCGCAAAAGGTATGTTTTTCCCCTCTTCTATTGTTCTTTCTTTCATGTCCTCTTCTTCTTGTATTCATAGTAGATTTTGTTGAAAAAAAATTTGTTGTTATGTTCTTTGATTTTTGTAGTGTTTCATTGAAATAAGTGGCTTGGAAGGAATGGTTACACGATTGTAGAATTTGTTAGATGGTGGTGAGTGTTTGAAGTGGTTTTTGACGGTTTGTGATTATGGATCGGGAAAGAAACAATGGAAGAATAGTTTCTAAGTTTCTGGTTTATGGTTTTTCTGGTTTCTGGTTTTCTGTTTTAACTTTTAACATAGCTTTAGCTTTGTACATTTTTTTTTCGATTTTAGGGTTTTCCAGCAAATGTTTGAAACTGGAAAAAGGGAAGACATTTGACAGTTTTCCAATTCAAAGTGAAAACAAGATGAGAACAGAAAACATTTCCTCAAACTTAACAGAATTTAAAAGACTTGTTTTCTCATTGTTAGTACCAACTTTGTGAAGCTGGCATGTTTATTTGCTTTGTATAAATATTATTTTTCCTGATTATTTTGTCATTAATGTTTTTACATTTGTAACCTTTCACATCTCCTATCAATTTAGTGCCTTGTTGCAAAGAATGTCTCGTTCCTTGCTAAGAGCACAATTTTCGAACAATGTTGTGCACAGTGGCATGGGTTCTATTGTCTCCTGGTTGCTAACAAGTCTACCTTTTCTGTTCAGCCATGTGGAGACACCAATCATGTCAGTTAAAGATAAGGAGGAGAAGACGAAAAGATGTGAGTTTATTCAAGGGCTGTTGATGTCCACCATACTTGATGACAATTTATGAAAAGAAATTCATCAAGATGGAATGCTTCAGTGGCCCTCTAATTCACAGATGCAATCTGCAATCTATGGTTTATTTACTGAAGTTGTCTATGTATGTATTCCGAGTGGAATAATAAAGTAGTAAATTAATGTATCTATGTTGTATGTGTACTGATGTTTTTAGTTGAAGAGTTTCATATGGCATCCTTATTTCAGATCGTAAGGCTTAAAGAAATAGATAAAGTTCCATTCCTGCCATAACTTATGTTTGCCTTATGCTTCTGGCTTGTAGAAAATAAACACACTAGAAATTTCAAGATATGAAAATTTCATGTCTGGTATGTGAGAAAATTTTAGGTACAACGCAACTAATGTATTATCTTTGCATGATGGGTATTTTTCCCTTGCTGCTGAACATAGAATGGAAGCTTCTACACTTACTAAGGCTAACTAATTGAATTTAAAACACGTGTAGGACCTGGGTAAGAGACCCATCTTCCTCATGATTATTATCTCAGAAAGAAAATATGAGTGATTGATTACCTGGGTAAGAGACTATCATGAGCGATTTTATTAGAGCATTCATTGCCAGTTGAGTGCCAAGGGTTTTGTTACTCTGGTTTTCTGGTTTTCTGTTTGGCTTATGCTTCTGCAACAAGACATGAAAATCAGCATACTTATTAGCATGATTTGTTGGTATAATAACAGGTATGACTTTAATTTCTGTTTGACAATGTTAATTTCTAGCATTTGAAATCTTCTGCATTATAGCAGATCAAGCACTGTGTGTTGGATAATAGTTTAGGTTAGGAGGATTGGTAATTTGTGTTCCTGTGTTGGCTTGTTTTTTTCATCGTTTGTTAGCTTCGGCGCTGCTCGGTCTCTTTATCTGACACTAATTGTTAAGTTGTTTAGGGAGGAGTCCACGGTGCAATTATTCGAAAGGAATTTAGATTTCTCTCTTGAAACAATGTTGTTTTTTGGGCAGTCCACGGTAATCGAATAGCTCGCATTTTGAAGCTGGAGGTATAGTGTTTCTCTTGGATGTAAGTGAAGTTTCTCAAAGTAGAGCTGCTACTGTTTTATCTGTTATACTGCATTTTTTAAAAAATTTCTGTTATGAGTCGATCTCATCCCTTTGGTGAACTCTTGGATCAAGTATCATTTGGTTTTGGTGATTTCTTTCTTTCTGGATTATGGAGTTCTGTTATGGTTTGTTGGGGGTCTAATGTATGGAAGTATAGGAATTATGAAGTGTTGTTGAGTTCTACTAAAACATCCCGTATTTGACTTTCTATTGTAACATTTTGTCATGGTTTTAGGCATGACTTATGCCTATTGTTAATAAATTCTCTTCCTTTGTTAAAAAAAATTAAGAGTGAATACCCATATTTTAATCCATACAAATTTGCATATGTTTATAAGTTAACTACTTGCAGGAGTATTTATTAGATAACAATGCAGAAAGTATTGAATAATTTTTAAAATAGCCTTGCCTTAGTAATGAATAAGTTTAATTTTAATTTAGATTTAAACTAGCCTTGACATATATCCATGGAAAAGTCATTCAAAGATCTTGAAATTAGCACATTGGTGGACTCAAAAGATAAAGTTGAATTGATACAATGGTGCGAGATTCATATATTAAATATTTTGGGACTTCATCATCTTCACGTGAGCAAACTGATGATGGGTAATGATCCTATATTGCACATAAATTTTTAAAAGTTCAATGGCTCAAAATCGTTATTTTTTCTTATTTATGAATTTTTTTATAAATGGTTTTCTCCTAATGTATAAATGAATGTTTTTGTAATCATAATAGTTTTATGTTCCAAGTCAAACTAGGCCCTTATTGGAACTAAGCAATGAAAAGTTTGATAAATTGATAGGTAATGGAAAGGAAGAAAGAAAAGAATGGGATAGAATCTATGACTATGAATACTACAATGATATCAACGATCTTGACAGAGGTTCAGAGCATTTTAGATTTGTCTTCAGTGGCTCAAGGTTATATTCATATACACGATGAGTTAGAACAGGTTAAAGAATAGTACATCAGGTACTTCATTTATTTCTCTCTCAATTTTAGTTTAAAATTGCAATCTTAATTGTTATGAATAAATGGAATCAAATTTTCAAATCTTATGATTCTTCCAATCTCAATTGACGAGTCGGGTCGTAACACTGTGGCACAAACTGCCATAACTTTTACTCTGACAAAATCATTATGGGGTTGCATTGGATTTATGGAGCACTGGTTGCATTCTTGGGGAACTATACACGGGCGGACCCATTTTGCCAGGAAAAAACGAGGTATGATTATGAATATACTTTCCATCATTTTGCAAATGATAAAAGTGATACTAATACAAGCGTTGCAGGTTTATTAATGTATGAGGTATCTAAAATTTGATTTTAGTTTCTTGTAGGTTGAGCAATTGCATCAGATTTTTAAACTTGCGCTCACCGTCCGAGGACTATTGGATTAAGTAGTGGTTGCCACATTTAATAGTATTCAAGCCTCCTTGACACTATTACAGGCAATGTGTTACAGATACATTTAAGGAATACTCCTCAAATGCTCTTAAGCTTTATAGAGAACCAAATATCTGTTGATTCATCAAATCGAGGGACATCAGCTGCTGCTGTAAAAAGTGAGGTACGCTGGTTTTGATTTTTACTTCCAACAAGTAATTATATAATTCGATTAAGATTAATTCATGTCCTTCTTAGATGTAATATTTGTGATATATGTTTTCTACCGTTAAAACCAATAATACTCATGATTCTGTATTTTGAGTTTGTCATATCCACCCATTATGATTGTTGATTTGAAGTAAAGTAACAATGTAGTTATTAACTATTTTCAATTAGTTTTTAAGTTATTTGTTTATAGATTGAATGAATAGGCCTAACATTATTAATCAAAAAATGATTATTTGTCACACAAAGAACTTGCACATATTGATAAAATTTTGTTGTTCAGAGAAATTTGAATATAGATTCCTAAGTGAAAAATTATAAATTTGAACCATGTTTATCCTCAATCTTCCTTATACTATAATCCATTTATTCAATGTCTAAAAAGTGA